GAAATTAAAGTGCAAATCCGCACTAATGACATCCAGGGTTTTCACATCCATTGAAGCCCTTCCCAGCGCACACTGAGCAACGGACGGAGGGGGTTTTAATATGACGTGCCTCACTGCACCTAAGCACGTCATGCAGAATTGATGTTACAGCTGCACAAGCCTTGTGCTCCATTGAGAAACACACTAAAATCGTGAAACCAAGACCCTCACAGGCTGCTACAATGACCCAACTTGCAATATGGCCTCATGGGAATAATGGACTGTGGTGGATGACCTATAATTGAATGCTTTATTGTTCATGTAGTGAAAAATGACAGCTTTGCAGCCTTTGAATCCACATATAAGCTAGACTCCAGCAGTGCCACACATCGCCCCAACTGCCGCGCTGCCTTCTCCCTGCCATATCTCATCCCATCCCCTCCTGAAACTGCCTCCACAGAGATCAATATAGTGGGGTTGCTGCCTGTGCATTCGGGACATCAAATGATCCAGCAGATTGCCAAAGAGCATTTTATTATGGGCCACTTTCAAGGGATGGATTCTCAGCCCCACTAACACCAGATTATGGGCACTCCCACTGTATATAAATAAAGCACTATTCCCCTCAACAAACACGTGCAGGATTGTGACAGACCTGTTGTGTGCACTTTTTCACTCTGTCTCTGATGTGCTTCTAAACAGAAATGGCTTGTGATAATGTGGCTTAGGAAATGGAGAGCCACAAAGTTGTTGATGGCTGCTTCTCTTGCGACATGTTGCATCACTGGTTGTGACAGCCTGACCTGCCCTCTCAGAGCTGATCATACCACAAGGCCACTGAAAATGACTATCCATGTAGCTATCGTGTGAGCTTCCTCAGCATTCCACTTCTTAGGAATCTGACTCCGTCTGAGTCACATGGGGCAATGCATTAGGCTGGGCATAGTAACACAGCCAAAATGTAACGTCACCCCAGGCCAGTGGGAATCTATTGCTGCATGCGCCTCTCGGAACTGTTGGTAGCTAGGTGGGATGTGGCGGCAGAGCACTCAGCCCCAAGGGAAGAGATCACAGCACACCTGAAGGAACAGCTTTGATGGCGTCTGGGGGCGAGCGGGCCAGACTTTATTAACTTATGGTAGGGCACTGTTATAATGGGTCTTTGCGAGCAGGGGATTCCACCTCCTCCTCCTTCCAAAACCGTCTGAGCGCTAGTAATTTCAAGTAAAGCCAGTCACCTCGATGCCCCTGATGATCTCGCCGGTGCCAGTTAACCTGGCGGCTGTGGGGGTGCGGAATGTACTTGGTACAGTCTCTTGACAGCTCATGGGATTGGGGGTTAGAATGGGCAGCTCCACACTGGTTTTGCTCTCCCTTACGCTGGTCTCACGCAGGAGTCAGTGGAGAGACGATGGTGTAAAGCTGGCACAAGTGAGATCTGCAGTCACATACCCATGGCTTTTTCAAGCAGCAGGGACTATTATCATTATCTAGTCTGACTTCCTCCGTGACCCAGGCCACAGACTTTCACCAAGGCCCAGGATCTTAAAAGTATTAAAGCATTGCAACACCTACCCCCTAGGCAGCCTGCTGCCCTCTGGCGTTCTCAGCCCAGAGCTGGGTGCCCAGGCT